TTTGGCTCCCTTTGAATCTTCTTTATTATTTTTAATTTTAGTTTTGCATATGGACTATCTTGTTCAGGTAATTGTGTTTTTATTCTATTTGCATTAATGGGTTCTGCTTGCATTTGTTTATATTCATGGATTTAGTTGTGAGATTGTCTTATTTGAATCAAGATTACTAGTTATTTTATCTAGACCAACTTTTTTAAGAGAAGAAAGAAAGAAACTACGAATTCATAGTAGTTTTGAAGTTTCAGAGTTCAATAATTGAATGTGTGTGGATGAATATTTAGCGTTCGAATCTATAGACGAAAAATGATTTACGTAGTCGACCTCAAATTTATTAGTCTAATAATTGATATTTCATGGATGATAATCTAATATGAATTCCGTTCTGATTGTCATGTAGGGATTCAAACCAGCTCCAAGAGAAACGGGAGGCACTTCAATAAACATTACACCAAGCTCTTCAAGAAATCCAAGTCCACCATCTTCATATTTTGCGAGTCCAATTCCTTCGTCGTGCCAACTTAGTCCGTCGTCATCTTCCTTTCCGAGCCCATCCTGGCTCGATGCTAACACGTCATTACCCTCATTTGCATTCCTACATAATTCCATCTCTTCATCACTTCCACCTCTCCAAATATCAAATAGTGCTCCCGTAACCCCACCTCTCTCATCCCCGACTAGACTCCCTAACCAATCTTTCAATTTTGAGTCTCTTACTAAAGAATCCATGGCTGCCTTGAATATCCCATTCTTGGCTTCATCAGCACCGGTAAGCCCTACTCGCTGGCGGCGTTTGCATCCAGCCACTATAACTGAATGTGACAAGTCCAACCCATCTACTACTGCAGCCACTGTAACTGAATGTGATAAGTCCAACCCATCTACTACTGCTTTGCCCCAATGGATGAACTTCCGAGCATATGGAAATGCATCTGATGTGGTTCCACCATCTCCAACATTCAATCTTGTGAGACAAATGGCTCAACGAGTTCCTCCCAAGGATGCAATGCAGGAGAAGGAGACGGGTACGCAATTTGACTTCGAGAAAGTGGCGGGGAAGCCATGGGAAGGGGAGAGGATCCATGACGTGGGATTAGATGATCTTGAGTTCACACTGGGAAGAGGAAGCACTCAGAATTAAGTGATTTATCCATTATCATACTGTAATCAAGAATCATCATCTTCATCGTAGAATGGGAATACTTTGTACACACCTATAACGATTTTATAGACATTTTCCGAAGTGAGAAGTCTTCTGATACATTCATGTTTTGATCTTGTTTCTAGAACAAATACTTATTGTCGCTAATAGGCAGAAGCAGGGGGACAAATATTAAAATCAAATAACAAATGTAATTTCTCTAATAGATGACAAATGTAGAATCATTTAATAGTTACATCAATATTAGTCATAGTGCAGACATATACACCAATCCAATTCCTAAAAAGAATTTACAACGCTGAACGAAGAAAACATAAATCAGTAACACTGCAAAACATTCAGTTACCATACCAGCACACGAGCAACACTAAATGTGGATCCTAGAACAACAAGAGACAACGGTGTTTTAGTAGTTAGATTAAAATGGCATACAGAAGTTGGCTCTAAATTATACCTAGACTCGATTTCTCCTCCGAACTGAGCTCCAAATTGTGAGGACTGGTAAGTTACAGCATGTTTGGCAGGTGATACTTGACAATACTGGATTGTAGTAAGAAGGAGACTGTACTTTCTTTTTCTTGTTTAATTTGTCGTGTTGTCAAATTCATCTTACCAAACAAATTATTATGACATGTTTGGTAAGAAGGAATGGATAGTACCAGACAATATTAAGAAAGAAAATACTAAAATTTTGTTCATTATACTGTTACAGTCAAGTCGAATACTCCGTACCATAACTGCACTTACAGTTCACGGAGTTTTTGACTCATTTACTGTGCATATCATTGTCTCAGCTTTCCTTGTAACTTCCGTCTTTTCTAGTCGGGGTGTTGAATTCTTCTTGACATCCGTGCTACATTCATCATATCTGAAGCACGTCGTGAGATGATCGTTAACTAATCCAGCTACTTGCATGAACGAATACACAATAGTAGGGCCGACGCAGCAGAAGCCCCTTCGCATCAGATCCTTGCTTATGAGTTCTGATTTTGGTGTTTTAGCTGGTACTTGACGTGAATAACGAAATCCATTTTTCAAAGGTTTGTGGTTCACAAAACGCCAACAATAATTACTGAAGGATCCAAACTCCTGCTGGATCTAAAAAAACAAAAAATTGGATATGGAAGTGAGGAAAATATTCGTGGTTCACTTGTAATGTTTTGACCAGAAATTATAAAGTTCTTCACAAGAAAGTTTCTCTACACAAGACTAGATATACAAATTAATGTTGATATAGAACATGTGCCACTTTTACTGTCCTAGGATCCAAACAAGCTCTAGGCATTTGAGAAGGAATTTTGACCACCCCATCCAATTTAGCAAACTGGGTATCTGATTTTTGAAGAACCGTTATGTGAGAGACAAATTTTGGTTAGTTTGATCGTACTGGTCTATTGGAGCCACCCAAAACATTTAGAATTTTAGCCTCTGGTTCTTGATCAAACCTATAGGTCTAGTTTAGGTTTAATAATCCCACATACAAGTTTTAAGTGGCTCGAAAGAACACGTGGTTTTATTACCTTGAGCAGCTGTTTTGCATTTTCCACGATTGCACGAAGTTTTGGTTCAGATAGCAATGTGTTACCATTCATTTTCATCGATAGCAACTTCTTCTCATCAAATTTTGCAACTGATGATGGATCAAATTCATCAAAAAGCTTTCTGCAAAGAAATTCATTTATGATGTCAAAAAAGGAGGGAAAAAAAAAGATAAAAAGGCAAAAAAAAAAAAAAAAAAAAAAAAAAAAAAAAAAAAGGCAACAACAACAACGTATAAACATCACACTAAAAAAAAAAAAAAAAAAAAGCCACTAACTAGTAAAAGCCAAAGTTAACTGAGAAATTAAACCTAAATGTTGCTCTCTTGCTAAGGATTGCCAGCCAGGTGAGTTCTGCCAATGCTTGTGATAAAACAAGTAGCTCAAAGAGCTTCTTATCATCATGAACAGGGACTCCCCATTCCTCATCATGGAAAGAAGTATAAAGTGGTTCTGCACGGTAAAATATCAAAATGAGCAGGTAGTTCTTAAAGGTATTGGGGATGTTTGATAGTCATTTTTATGTAAAAATATATTTTAGAATAGTAAATTGATGTGAAATATGTGGTTGAAAAATAAGAAAAAGTTTTTGATTTACATGTAATATTATTTTAATAAAGAATGTGTGGTTGAAAAGAAAAGAAAAAAAAATGTATTTTAAAAAAAATGGCTACCAAACGTGGCCATTATCTTTATTCTGATGACATTTCCAACCACGAAACACATATAGAATGCTTTGAAAATATAGAATTAAATTCTTACATTTGAAGAATGAATAGTGCAATGTTACATTTATTAAGAGCTTGTTTGGTATAGCTTTTTAGCCAATTAAAATCAATTTTTTTATCGTTATTTCACTATTTCAGCCGTCATTTTTGAATTCTTCTTTCACCGGTAAGACCCACTTTATCTCTAATGGTTAAAAAATCAATTATCAAAATCCCTAACAAACAAGCACTAAAATTCCAACCTAATTGATTAGGGAAAAAAAAAAAAAAAAAAAAGGAAAACGAGAGATCGTCCTGTCAATTCTAACAGTCAATGAGGGTGGGTTCCATAAGTTGAAATGAAAATAAGCTCCAAGTTTCAAAAATACTATTTCAATTCCGTCAAAATTGAATCATAAAATATTTTTAATGCTTTACATACTTGGATGTAGGTATTTATAATCATATAAAGACACGAACTTAAAGAGAACTTCACTGAACAATGGATATTTCATATCATCATAGTTTTTAATTGTTGACATGGAAGTAACCTTGCTACCAAAACATAAAATTATAAGATCACTTTGAAAATGCAATTTCTTAACAGTTAAGTTACATATGCAATTTGATCGATGTATATAGATTCAAGATTAACCTACACTCTAACATCCGCACGTCTCAATGTCTCATTCATTTCGAGGCTTTTCCATACATTTAATTTCAATGTTTGATGGACATCAACATAGTACAGTAGTAACCAGATCACTGCTGTGTTGCCCATATATTATTTATGTTAGTAAATTGCAACCATTGTAATTAACAGACAAAGCTTCACCAATCGAATGTAGAGTCATCCCCTAATTATCCCCTTATATATTTCGTAATGAGTCACTCTTGCTTTTCTAGAAGATTCGTCCAGCATTCATGAAAAATCATCATACGAATAATTCTCTACCCTTCTTCTCTGATTTATTTCTTTTTCCCACACGTCCTATCATATAATGTTCTGACATCAGACCTGACCCTAGTTTCTTCCTTTTATTTCTTTCTTATATTAGTACTCTTAAAAATTTCCCTCAAAACATACATTTCTTCTACGTTAGCAAACTATTTGCTTAGTAGTGAGACTGAGGCAACATTAGTTTCGACTCGTTAA